GTGTGTGTGTGTGTGTGTGTGTGTGTGTGTATTGCGTGATGTTAGCGTGTAGGTTCTCTCCACGTAACCAGAGCTCTATAATCTTTATTGTAATCCAGGATAAGAAGAAAAGAGCATATGAGAGAGAGAGTGTTTCAGCTGTTTGAGACCGAGGAGCTGTGATACGGTTAGCACTGCAATCTGACCACATACACTTCAGCACACACACACACACACTTCAGCACACACACACACACATTCACACACACACACATACACACACCTCAGCACACACACATTCACACACTCACACACACACACACACACACACACTCTCTCTCTCACACACACACACACTCCCGTCAGTAACAACTGCTGTCTTGTGAGTCTGAACAGTGACTGACAGTGCTAGTTATGGTCAAGGTTAGTAGTCACCTGTGAATGTCACTGTGGTTCAGAAGGACAGAGAAGAAATCCAGATAGTAGGTGAGAGAGACAGAGGCCAGGATCCAGAAGACTGAATGCCGGTTGATCCGAGCAGATGGTTTCACATCCACAGCCTCATCAGGACCAGAACCTGCAAGATAATAAGATAACACAACATTAACAACAACAACATCAACAACAACTACAACACAACAACAATACAACACCACAACAACACCATAACATCAACAACAACAACACCTCAACAACAACAATACAACACCACCATAACATCAACAACAACACCACAACAACATCAACACCACCACCATAACATCAACAACATCACCATAACATCAACAACAACACCACAACAACATCAAGAACACCACCATAACATCAACAACACAACACCAACAACAACAACACAACATCACCATAACATCAACAACAATACAACACCACAAGAACTACATAACATTAACACTAACACAATGACATCAACAACAAAAATAAGATCAACAACAACATCATTGATACTGTCAATCAAATCATCAATAATTTATTCCTATAGCACGTTTAAAAACAACACTAGCTGACCAAAGTGCTTCACAGACCCACAATTACAACACACACACACTCTTTCTCTCACACACACACACTCTTTCTCTCACACACACACACACACACACATACCTCCATGACGTCTCCTTCTGTGAGATTTAAACCGAATGCTACAAGAGTGTTCAGTTCACAGTAAATATGCATGAATAGAAACGTATGTCAGTAGATATGTTTAGAGTAAAAATAATAATTTATAAATAAAAATAGATAATAGTTATCTTACTGCTTATATAAATGTATTTGGGTTCTTGAGATAATAGTTTTACCTTCGTTTATATCCGGAATGCTCCTCCATTTGTAATAAAATTCTTTGAGAATATTATATTGAAGTCAACAAAAGACAAAGAAGAGGGAATGAGTATTGTGTGCGTTGCTAGACAAATTGTAACTTTTTAACCTTCAGTGAAACAGTATGAAAGCAAAATGATTCATGAGCAATCACATCATCAATCAGGCAGTAACGAGCAGTTAAAACAGGGTACAAAACAGATATCCTGCACACTGGAAACATTAATATAACTTTACAACAGATCAATGTGACTGTGATGAACTTACCAGTTTCCTCAAATGTGGCCTGAGAACATGAGATATGAAAACAATACTCCGTTAAAAAGAATCGATTTAGTCTAAACAAATCAGCAGCTGTATATCGCTTCATCAATGACTGTCTAACTTACCACAGGTAAAGCATGATGAAGAGCCAAAGCCGAGCTCAGCAGAACAAAAGCACACAAATGCATTGTCACTGGAAATCAGAATGAACACATTTGATTGATAACGTTTCATCTCATCACTCATTAACCTGCAACCAGTGTTTAAATGTAATGTAACTATTTTAATTCAGGAAACTAAAAGAGGGATACCTGCCAGTTTCCAGTCACTAATGAGGCTGTATGTGTTCAAATGTGAAGCGAGAGTCTTTTAAGCTTCATTCGTCACACGGCACGCCGCTAAGATCCACCCTGAAGCTGACTGGAAAAACTGGATGGATTGAAAAATGAAAATGACAGAAGCAGCTGTGTGTTTGCTCATTTTGGACTTGACAAAGATTTCAGACTCATGCAATGATGTTTAATATTTTGATATTTCAGCTGTTGTAAAATAACTGTAAACCACAGCTACACAGGGCTTGTTTTCTGTTTATTTACACATTTGGCAGAAGCTTTTATCCAAAGTGACTTACATTGCTTTATGCTTATATTACTGTGATCAGAATCCATATCAGATTGCAATAGGACAGGGCTGTAACATACTTGAGTAATTTTACTTGATTACTGTACTTGAGGATTATTTCGGGGGATTTGTACAGCGTAAACAGACTACTTGTACTTCTACTTGATTACTCGTTCTCGTTCCATTTTTGCATTTTTATTTAGTCTTTGTTACGTCCCAGATGTGAAGATTGTCTAGGGATAGGAGTAACAGAGAAAACTTATAAAACTAAATAAATGCATTAAATATGGTAAACGGAAGACGTGAGAGAACCAATGATCATTGTTTTCACCCATCAAGCACACGTGTGTTTCAGCTTCACTTATAACTCTCATCAGGTAGGACAGGGCTGTAACATACTTGAGTAATTTTACTTGATTACTGTACTTGAGGATTATTTCGGGGGATGTGTACAGTGTAAACAGACTACTTGTACTTCTACTTGATTACTCGTTCTCGTTCCATTTTTGCATTTTTATTTAGTCTTTGTTACGTCCCAGATGTGAAGATTGTCTAGGGATAGGAGTAACAGAGAAAACTTATAAAACTAAATAAATGCATTAAATATGGTAAACGGAAGACGTGAGAGAACCAATGATCATTGTTTTCACCCATCAAGCACACGTGTGTTTCAGCTTCACTTATAACTCTCATCAGGAAAATAGGCCTACATTTCATTTAATTAAAAGTTAAATTTTAAACAGAAACATGCCTTGGCTTTGCTCTACTAACTTTCGCCTCAAGGAAGCCCAGCAGAGTCACGATCAAGCCCAGAAGTGAGCGTGAAATGTGACTACGACCGTCCAATGACAATGGAAACATGGATACGAACCCTTTTCATAGACTCTGATGATGATGCATTTCCACAGTAAACCTGGTTCGTACACGAATAATGACTGATAAAACTTTTTACTAGCGGACAACTACAGTGGATACTGTAACATTCATAAAATTTACTTACTTGACAGTGTTGAGTCCTCAAAATGCCTTGAAGACTCAAATGCAGCCAAGTTTGTGATTCAAAATCGCGCCCGCGATCAAACGCGTGTGACGTGCTGATGTCAATCCGTGCGGGAGAGGGGCGTCTGACTCCGGGCTACTTTTACACTGCTGCCGCAGGTTATTATTCAAGTTAGCGGTTCTAAATACAGATAAATAAGCACTAACAGCACATGACATCGTGAAAATACGGGGAAATAGTAACAGTTAGGGAAACATCTACAGAAAAAATATAACTGTTACTGGATTAACCTAGCTGCCTTCTCACTAGACCCTTTGCAGCACAGTTAATGATATGCTAAGGATAGGATCCCTTGACACGGTTGGTTATTGAATTTTGTGACGTAGCAAAGCAAATGCTGTTTCAAACCGCGGGAAACTACCGTTTTAAGGAGAAAATACTCAGCAATGGGGTTGATAAATGGATTGACACATGGTTCGTCTAAAAGCATATTAAAAACACCACATAGACAAATAAACAACATAAAAAACTTGATTTTCACCACAGGGGGACTTTAAGATGAAACTGTTTACCAGTTTGTTAGTTATCTTATAATCCATTACAGTGTACAAAACAATCGTCGCAAAATGGCAGCAGCTGCATTTGTACGAAACCAGAGAGTGAGTCCACGATATCAGGATGACATAATTAAATAATTGTACTCATAATATGTCAGAAAATCATCACAATCACTCACGTCAGCACAGTCACCTCCTCCGACACACACCAGATTCTCCTCCTCCAGATCCACCGAGCCGGAAACACCCCCTCCTCCTGAGGTTCTGGACCAGCCCTCGGTATACCAGGTGAAAGAAATCCTAAATTCGCGGCGACAGGGCAACCGGTTACAATATCTCATCGACTGAGAAGGATACGGACCGGAGGAGAGGTCCTGGGTGGCCCGCAACGATATACTGGATCCATTACTGCTGGAAGAATTCCACCGCAACCATGCAAACCGTCCTGCACCCCGAAGTCGCGGTCGCCCTCGTCGCCGCATGGGGGTGTCAGGAGCCACCCCTAGAGGAGGGGGTAATGTCAGGAAATCATCACAATCACTCACGTCAGCACAGTCACCTCCTCCGACACACACCAGATCCCAATCACCCGAATTCTGATCACCTGCATCACCAATCAAGCCCGCTATATCTTCTCACTCCACTCAGTCTACCGTCCACTACCTGAACATTGCCAGACTCCTTACCTGCATAACTACCTGTTGTTTCCTTACCTCCAGAAGTCTATTACGTCTCCACTATCCCCATTCTCCTCAGTCCCGGTCCGTCTCCAAGATTCCTGCAACGATCAGAACCCAGATTACCTAGAAGCTAAGAAACCCAGAACTGTCATATATCTCTCATACACACCTGCCTTCGATCCTGACCATCACGGTATTGTCAATAAACCCATCTGTTTACCTGAACTCCTCTTGTCTCTTGCCTGTTGGTGACATAATACTGAATTGAGTTTTAATATTTTTTTTAGCCAACCAAACACAAAGCTTCCACCAAGAAAAAAATTTTCCCAGCAAGAATGGAAGATGTTATCATTGTAATAGTATGCTCTTTGTACTGCATTGCATTCAACATAAACTTTTTAAGTTTTTCTTGTCTTTTTCTTTTTTTTAACAGTGAGTCTAAATCATGTTTAATTCGTTTGTGCTCAATTTGTGATGTTAGAATATTGAACATTGTATTTATTCAACCAGAAATAGCAAATACAGGCTAATTTGGGGCACTCTCCACACCAGATTACTTATAGGCTGTGTATGTGCTCAGAGATAAAACAGCCTATTGAAGCTACTGAACGAGTGCATGTCAGGACAATTTACGGTGTCATTTAAACATTTTTAACACATGAAGTCAATGTAGGCCTACATTTATTTTTATTTCATTAAAATATATTTTAAACAGAAGCATGCCTTGGCTTGGCTTGCTTTATGCATATTCCTCAGAGAAAGGTAAAATACAGCAATATCATTGTGGATTTGTTTATGATCTTATTATTTCTTTAAACAATCAGAAATAATGTTTTCATACCATTTTCAAAATGATAGAATGAAATATTCCTCCATCCACATAAACCAAGAAAAAAAAAACATAATACATTAAAAAAGCTGGGATGCTTTGAATGTTTAAAAACATTCATAAGCAACGTTTTCTTCATTTAATGTGAAAACATTCTAAGAACATAATTTTTGTGGGATGAACTCATACCTATTAGCATGCTAAACACTCTGAGAGTTGTCATGACAGAAATGTTGGTGTTAGCTCATAGTTAGATATATGAAAAACAAGAAGCAACACCAGTACTCTCCTAATTTCGTTGGGCCCAGCCCAGTGGAGTCAAGATCAAGCGCCAGAAGTGAGCGTGAAATGTGACTACGAACGTCCAATGACAATGGAAACATGGATACGGACCCTTTTCATAGACTCTGATGATGATGCATGTCCAGAGTAAACCTGGCACAGCTTTACCTGCTCACAAGAATGGAATAAATCAACTGAACAACAATGAAGGGGTTCCAGGTGTGGGGGACTTTACTGATGATGGCATGAAGTCACTTGTGTAATACAGCATTGTGAAACAGAAGATGCTGCCCCCTCCTCATTCTCTGCCTTCCTGCAGTTTGCCATGAACGTGTGTACCTTCAAGGCCAAGAGGCGTCAGAGCAGAGTTCTTACAGTTCTAGAATATTACCGGTTTTCAAAGATTGTTTTCATTCGTTTGCTGTACAGATGAAAGAAAAGACAGTAGAAAGAATTCAGAACTGCTGAGCAGCACAAAACATCTCTTGAAAGAAAATCACTCCTTTAAAGTGTGTACTGTTAGCTATAAAGAAGATAGCAGATTTAAGTAGATTAATAGAGTTTACTGAGCTCCAGTATCCACATTTCCATTTTAATTGGACGGTCGTAGTCACATTTCACGCTCACTTCTGGGCTTGATCGTGACTCTGCTGGGCTTCCTTCCTTGAGGCGAAAGTTAGGGTAAGTGAGGTTATATTATCTTGCTGTATGTGTGTCGTTTTCTTTACGTGTTCTGTCTAAAAGCCATTTTAAAGTGGTTAAGCAAATAATAATAATAATAATAATAATAACAACAACAATCGGCAGGGATCCCAGACCAATACAATTAGTGTGCCTCCTCGATTTTAAAACCCACGAGCCGCCACTGCTCCTTCATCAGATGTTTCTCTTGTCATTCAGGTAATTTCTTGGAGATGGACAGAATTTTACATGGTGTTGTAGCACTCAGTAGAGTCTTGTTACAGTGTGCTATCGATCTGCTGTCAGGGGGCATGAAACATTTTCACACGTCAGAAACATCTTCAGATTCAGATCAGTGGTGTTGAGAAATTAAGCAGAAGACGGTAGATTACATTGAGATCATGTGCTTTCAACCTCATTCCAGCACAAAGTGGTGGTTACGATGAGAAGATGAATGTGTGACTTTTGAAGCATGCTGTAGTTGTTATGAAACAGGTGACACACCACACTTTCTGGCTTTTCCTCAGGCGTTACATACTTTGACAGT